GTCCCAGCTGAGACACATAACTTGGGAGGGTTTAGTTAAGGATCCAGCTGAGTGATTTCCCAGCCTGGTTTGCAGTTTGTGTGTCTGACAAAAGACTCTTGGCTGTGACATCCAGGCAGCCAGACTGGAGGAGAACGTGTTGATGGGCCCTCCTGACAGTATTTACATGTTAAACCAGCCTTCAGGTCAGAAAGGCAACAAGGATAAAACAGGCAACAAAGTGGACCTGATTTCACAGGGGAAAAAAAAAAAAAAACCAAAATAAACAAAACAAAGCTTCCAAAATAAGCAGCCCACTTGCATTCATGCAAATATCTTTTACTCCGAAGGAAGTTTATTGTTATTATTGTCTTCATTAGGCAACAAGTGGCAATGTGGTCCATCAGTGAACACCAGCACTTCTCAAGGACTGAATATATTGACCCCATCAAGAAGTTCCTCTGAGACTGAAGGAAAGCACCAGCTGCCACGTCTACACTTCTCCTGTTAAGGTCTGTGGGCTCCTGCCAGACAGAGGCCACGTGGAGATGTTTAAGTGAGGGAGCATCGACTTTAGATCATGTTAAGAAGTTTCTTCACCCTGTTATTTTCAGATGTAAAATGTCCAGACTTCAAGAGAGAAGTGAAAGCTCACCAGCACCAAGATCTAAGTCTGGATAAGTATTGGTAGAAAAAGAAAGTCTGAGGAAGTCTTTAGCTTGACACAGCAGGATATTGGTCTGTGCCAGCAAGTCCAGAGGAGGCCACCAAGTTAATGAGAGTGATGGAGCAGCTCTGCTACAAGGAAAGGTTGAGAGAATTGCGATTGTTCGGCCTGGAGAAGAGAAGCCTTTGGGGTGACTTAACTGTGGCCTTCAAGTACCTGAAGGGAGCTACAAGAAACATGGAGAGGGACTTTTTAGAAGGACCTGGAGTGACAGGACAAGGGGGAATGGCTTCAAACTAAAAGAGAGTAGGTTCAGATTAGATATTAGGAAAAATTGTTTACTGTGAGGGTGGTGAGGCCCAGGCACAGGTTGTCCAGAAAGGCTGTGGATGACACATCCCTGGAAGTGTTCAAGGCCAGGTTGGATGGAGCACCGAGCAACCTCGGATAGTGGAAGGTGTCCCTGCCCATGGTAGGGGGTTGGAACAAGATGGTCTTTAAGGTCCCTTCCAACCCAAACCAATCTATGATTCTGTGATTCTTTCAGCTAGTGGGTTTTGCTGTGTAAAGATAGATTTGTCCACATTTGGTCTGGACAAAGCGGGAGAGGACTGTGTCTCTGCTGTTGTACTCTTAAAATAAGTGCCTGCTATGTGATCTTGGGATCTCTTCCCATTGTGGGGAGCTGAGGAGGTTACAGATACATCAGCAAAAGTTTGGTTGTTCAAAAGAGGAAGAAACATGACTCTTTTAAAAGTTTGAAACTTATTTTCAGCACAATATGGGTCTTTCCTTGTGGCTTTGAGAAACGTGATGGAGCTGCAAACAGTGATATAAGTGGTGAAAGTTGAATTAAAGCAGTTTAGATAAGGCTACATGGAAATGTAGCTGCTTATTTTGGCATAACTAGTACAGTTAATACACAGGTAGGATGGAAAAATAGCTCTTCTAAAACACAGAACAGCATTTCCTTTTGCTGTGGGCACAAATTAATCAATAACTGTGTTATTCAGGTCCTCTTTATTTTCTGTTACAAGACAAACAGGATCCTACAACAAAAGGACAAATATGCACTTCATCAGGTACCAATAAAGTATTGGCAGCTGTGTTGTTGAGACTTTCTTCAGAGGAACTGGAGATTTAAGGATTCTCTTCTCCCTAAAACCAGTTACAAAACTGATTCCACAGAACTTGGTCTACATCTCCCAGCGTGGACAATGAAAGTAAAAGCTTGCACATGTAAAATAGTCATCTTCAGTATTAAAAGACTGGGAATGTTTCTGATTTCTGATGAACTTACAGTTCAGTTGAGTGGCCATCTATGAGTATGGAAAGTAGTGATTGTTGCTGTAACAATCCCCTCCAACATAATTTACTTCTCACAGTGCCAAGCCCTTAATCCTTGGATCTTTTGGCTGAAGGAGCCTTGTGCTGCCATGCCAGTAAAGTTTAGTGGACATGCCCTCTTCTGGCCATCTGGAGATCCTCACATTTGTAGGCATTCGTACATCAGGTCCCCAAAGCTGTCACCAATGCACTCCAGAACCTCCTGCAATATTTATACCCTACTGTGTTGTCCTTTCAACAGATACTGGAGAGGTTGAAATCCCCCATGAGGACCAGACTCCGTAAATGTGAGGCTGTTGCTACGTGTCTGTAGAGGGCCTCTTCCACTTTGCCTGTCCTCTTTTTAATCCTGACCATAAGCTCTCCATCAGCTCCTCATCCATTCCCAGGCAGCATCCCATGCACTCCAGCTGCTCTCTCACATAAAAGGCAACTCTTCCTCCTCATCTTCCTATCCTGTCCTTCCTGAAGAGCTCATATCCCTCCAATTCAACACTTCATCCTGGGAGCCAACCCACTCCACCTCCATGATCCCATCAAAATTGCAGCGCTGGAACTTCCCACAGATCTCTAACTCCTCAGGTTTATTCCCCATGCTGTGTGAATTAGCATCCAGCCACTTCAGAGGTGAACTACAGCATGTTCAGTTCCTGGAGAGGATCTGGGATGTTTGTCTGTGGCAGTGGTGCCTCGCAGGCACTGCCCTGCTCACATGAAGTGCTAGAGGTGACCCTGCCCACAGCCCCATTTTGATGACCTTGTGAACCCTTCCTGCCACACCACCCCCTGTCCCTTTTCCAGCGATCCTGTCTGTTGGTCACCCCTCCCTCCCCCATCATTATTAGTTTGAAGTCCTCCTTATGAGGTGGATCCCATCTCTCCCAAGCAGCTGTTAATCTCCAAACAGGGTTCCCTGGAACCAAAACCCATGCAACCAACACCAATTTACAGCCAATTATTGATTTCTCTCATTAGTGTCTGTCCTCCTTGCACCCTTTCCCCTCACCAGCACCCCATGTGATGAAGCTGCACAGGGATGTTTTTGCCAAGAATTCCTGTCAGGTTGTGTTGGAAGGACTCTGTTTTCTCACAGGTAACCCAATCCATTAACTTGTTCTGGCTTTGGGGGGGGGGGTTGGACTAGCTGATATGGTAATGCTTAACTAAATATTTGTAGCAAAGAGATGCCATGACCTGGAACACAAGCCCAGAGTTTATTTGCTGAAGACATACAGTAACAAGAGACGTGCTGCCCCAAGTCTGCATTCTATTTCTTCCTTGCATGGCAGAAATTGCTCTCTCCCCAGGGAGTGTTATCAATGTGTTCCTTCAGGAACTGGCCCATATGCTGGAAAAACTCCTTTTAGGTTTCTGTAAGAAGCATGGATTGCTCTGCCTGTGCCATGCACAGACCAGACAAGCTCTTCTCACAGCTCTCCCCTGCTCAGGTGAATCTGGGAAGGGTTTGCTCCACAGCCCTGGGAGCATTTTGTTGATATGCACATCCCATAATCCCTGGTTATGTATTTTCCCTGTGTTTTCTAAACAAGCACTCAAAGAGCTTTCATTTCATGCATGTAAGAGGGATGCATTAAAAAATGAACCAAGTGCCAGAAGAACTGTCTCTTGTCATCTCTGAATTTTCACTGTGGGGGTTTCAACTCCCTTTGCCTCCTGATTCTTAATCTCACTTTTGTGTAACATGAATGCCAAAAGATAAACAGTGGGACCCTTCAGCAACTGGTTGGGAAGATGCCCTGACTGGTTGTCAGGATTAAAAGATAGTCCTAAAGAAACTATTAAAAATCTGCTGCAGCATAAGAAGGAGAAGAACAACAAGAAAAGAGCAACAAAAACCTTATGCTGTCTCAAAGACAAAATGTCCTACTTAATCTAACAGCTTCTCACAAGAAAGTTAATACTGGGGTGGCTTCTATGCATGGGTAACATCCTAAAATAATAAATATTGCCTAAAGAAAAGGAGTTATAAGGATCTTGAAGCTAGCTGATGTATGTTGTCATGTCCCTTAGGGCATTAGCATCTGATGTGCTTTTAGAGATGAATCAGGCTCTAAAGTTATCCATGTACAAAAATAAGCTTTCAAAGTAGCATTAAAATAATTAAAAAAATAAATAATGGGTTTTAAATATAATTTTGATTATTTTTTTTCTGCCCCTGTGAACTGAGTTTCTCAGAGGGCTATAACCACCTTATTTCAGTGTGAAAGAAAGCATCTTATGCTAATGGAGGCTTGCAAAGGCATGAGCTTGGCAAAGAAATACAGAGTGATTAATAAACAGCAGAGAAGAGTTTTTTTATGATCTCCATGTGGCCTACAAAGTTCAGAGGGAGATGATCTACTGTGTCTTATCTCTCTATTCACAAAAATTGGTGGCTGTCAGTGATGGTCTGCTCTTAAAGATAATACCAGGGGTTCCTCTCACCTCTTTTCCCCATTTTCTCCTTGTCACTGGTAGCTGGAGAACAAGAGAAGGACAACTAATGGGTAGCAACGTCAGACTATGCATCTCAGCACATCATGATGTCAGGCTTCTGTAAATTTAATTAGACACACCCTGCAACGTGGAATGAAAATTCTATTTGGGAAAATCAAGCTGCTTAATTTTGTCTACCATCATCAATAATCATAACAATAATTGCTACTGCTATTGCTTTTTAATTACAGTTCCAGGTAGAAAGGAAGAATTGGATCCCTTTCCAGTTAATGTTATGCATTCTTCAGCTTCCTTTTTACAGTCAAAACCGAATGAATTCATCTCCCTGTGAATTGTATTTTATGCTAAATATACCAGCAAATTATCCTTAACACAAGAACCCTACTGCACAGGGCGGTTTGTCAGATCAAAATATCTCTGGATGCACAAAATGCCCCAAAACCCAGGGAAAATTATCACAACATCAACAAAGAGCTGCTCACAAGTGACAGTATCACATTGGAGTGGTGGAAGAGGGTAATAAAGCCCATAATTTAAATGTGACACCAACCTATTGCATCTCCTTGCTCGTGCACCATGGAGGCCAGGTCTTTAATGATCTGGTTCACATCCAACATGTCACTCTGAAAAGACAGAAAGTCCAATATTAACCAGGAATGGGGGATATCCAAGCATAAGAGGCACGTTCCACAGTCCAGCTCTGCAAAGGAAAACACAAACCCAGAAACCTTCATCCGTGTGGAAGTAAAAGGGAAAGTTATAATGCTCCCACAGGAAATAAAAGAGTCCCTTGGAGCCATGGTTTGCTGGATCCAAGTCAACCAGCTGACTCCAGCTTTGTGAAGGAAACAAGTAGAATGATCAGATTTTTATGGCTGCTTTTCAGAATTGTGGAGGACTGAGGAGAAACAACAATAAAAACAACAGTAGCAAAAGCTTGGTTTTCTAAAAAAGAGCCATTCATCCCAGAGTGTGGATTCATACCCAGAGAAAGGCCATGTTTCACCACAGCATCCATCTGATAAGATGCTATTCATAAACTGATGGAGATACCATCAAAAACTCACTGAGTTTGATATCTCATTGGTGAGGCAATAAGGAAAGAGCTGTTTGACGAACAGATTCATTTATATGTTTTCAACTAGCAAAAACAAAAGAAAAGAAAGAAAAAGTATTAACTGCATTCAGCACTGAAATTTTCTCAGTGGAAACACAGCAAATTGCCCATGAGTTTGTTTCCTTCATTTCTGAACACTTATCATATAAAAGAGCAAATGTGAGCATATGTTGACTTCATACGACACTGTCTCTTATAAAAAGAATTAATTTAGCAATAATAGACATAATAACAAAGACACTGCTAAATGCACTACCAGCATGGCAACGTTACCAGAGCAGAAAAATAGACACTCAAAGAGGATGTTTTTGTTCTTTTTTTAAGCTGTATAAATCAGAGAATCACAGAAACATCGAAATTGGCAGGAACCTCTGGAAATCATTTAGTCCAACACTCCTTCTCAGGGCAGACAATTAAAGCAGGTTGCTCAGGGCCACGTTCACTTGGTTTTGGCTGTTTCCAAGGATGGAGACTCCACAGACTGGCTGTCCATGTAACCCCTGTAGTGGGGAATCCAGCACTGGATGCTTTCTGAAGCACTGAGGACACTTCCTAAGAATCTTCTCCTGACACCAATTGCTACAGTAATTCACAGTAATTGCTTGGGTCCTGTTGCAACTCAAATCCACCTGGCTGGAGATGCAGGAGAGCTCTGTGGAGAAGGACCTGGGGGTCTGGTGGACAACAAGCTGCCCATGACCAGCAGTATGTCCTGGTGGACAGGAAGGACAATGTTATCCTGGGATGCATCAGGAAGAGCATTCCCAGCAGGTCAGGGAGGTGATTCTGCCACTCCCCTCAGCCCTGGTGAGGCACATCTGGAGAGCTGTGTCCAATTCTGGGCTCCTCAGGACAAGAGAAACCTGGAGCTCCTGGAGAGGGTCCAGTGGAGGCTACCAAGATGCTGAAGGGACTGGAGCATCTCTCTTATGAGGAAAGGCTGAGGGAGCTGGGGCTGTTCAGCCTCCAGAGGAGACACTGAGAGGGGACCCCATCCATGTATGTGTCTGCAGGGAGGGGGCAGAGGATGGACCAGGCTCTGCTCGGGGGGCCCAGCAATGTCACAGGAACTGATGCCCAGGAAGTTCCACCTAAACATGAGGAAGAACTTCTTTGCCCAGAGAAGATGTGGAGTCTCCTTCATTGGAGATATTCCAGAACCATCTGGACACAACCCCGTGCCACGTGCTCCTTCCTCGAGCGAGGAGGTTGGACCAGATGACCCGCTGTGGTCCCTTTCAACCTCACCCATCCTGTGATTCCATGATCATGCCAAAGGGTCTGGCTGCTTCCACCCCACTTTCAAAGAACTCATTTTCCCTACTGGGAAATTTAGAAAATGGTGCAAAATGAATCCATGTTTGCTGTGAGAATGTAACAGGCACAACATTTAATCACAGAATTGCACCAATTTGCAGTGAGCCCCACTGGGAGCCCCACTGTGAATTCTAAAGTATACCAAACTATTCAATAATTGAAGATGCAGGAAGAAAAAAAAAAAAAGAAAAAAACAAACCAAAAGGTTTAAAAAGCTGGGAAATCATAAGATAGCAAAAAACAAAAACAAAAGCCCAACCAAAGACTGAGTAATGCACCACAAAAATGCACTTCATTCCTTCACTTGTCAAGCACAATGAAGCTTTAATTATGGATGGTGTTATTCCTAACTTGTAAGTACTGCAGAATATTTTGAAAAACAATGAAGTTTAAGTAACTTGAGATTGCACTTGAGCACTGTGGTAGTAAATCATTGCCAGGAGAAGAGGAGAAATTAGTTGTGATTTTTTGGGGATAGGGAAGTTTTCTGAGCTTTTTGCAAAAATCTTTCAAAGGAGAAACTTAAAGTTTAGCAAAATGTGAAGAACTGAGAATTAACTTTAATGTGTTGTTCTGCTCTCATTTAACCAGTTAGCAAAAGATGATTAAGGAAAAATTAAACAAACAACTAACAATTCTAAAAAAGCCCAGAAAGCTCATTTGTCTCTCTTGGTTAAATTGCCACTGACATCAGTTTTTTGGTTTCTTTTCCTTGCAATATAAATACAATTCTCTCTACATTTCAGCCTGTTTTATTTTGTTCTGCTTTTTTTCCAGCACTTCAAGTGAATGTAGCTTTAAACTCCCGAACATGTTTTTGTTCATAAAGTCGGTTATATAGAGTTCATTGCAATATATTGAATTATACACGCCCCTCACCCACCTCAAGTATTTCCATTGGAATAAAACAAGAGGGCAATTCAGTCTAAGGCAGATCAGATAAATCATTGATTTCTTAGAAGGTTATTCTCAGCTGATTTAACCACAGGGAGTTGATCTGTCTGTGTTTTGATCCCCAGATATTATGGGAAGAAGGGAAGAAAGGAAATTCAGTGCTGGTTCAGTTTTGCCATTTATATTCAGGTGCTTGGAGTGAACCAGCCATCTGCTGCTGCTCAGTACAGATCCTTCTCATAACGCTGCAACAACACTTAAAATTATTGTTTAGCAAATACACATTCGTTAGAGCCAGCACTGACTGCTTAGAAAGGGAAAAGTGTGACTCCTGTACTTATGGAAAACCAAACAGCAGCGAGCTATAAAGCACAGAGCACAAAGCAACCTGACCTGAAGCAAAGAATCTGCTGAATAATTTAACCTGGCAACGAGAAGTTTCAGAGTCCCCGATATGTGTAAGCAAAACAAAAGGAGAAACAGAAGAAAGAAAAATGCCCAGACATAAAGACCTTCCAGAAGGGAACATCCCTTGGAGCTCCACTCCTGTTCCTTCGTGCCAGGTTGGCTCCGTCCCCAAGCAGCTCTGAACTTGCCAGGCATCAGAGTTTGTTTAGCAAAATCAGATTCCCTTTGGTTTCCCATGTTTGCACACACTCTGCAGAATTCACAGTGAAATGCAGCTCCTCGTAAATCTCTTTGACTTCAGAGAAACCAGGAGTACAACAGCCAGGACCATCCCAAAAACGCTGCCAGCTCACCAGGCTGGGGCTTCTTGGGTTTTAATTAACACCAACACGGCATCAAGTCATTCACTACATTCTGCAGCAAGAGTGAGACTGATTTAAACTCTTTCTCTATCATCTAAATCCTTTCCTTTTTTAATTATTTTTTTTAAATAATTTTTGTTTTCCAAAGGAGAAATCCATTGTTCACATTAGACAGGACTTAATGTCATCCACAGTGGAACAAAGAGAATTAAACTAGTCAACAGTAAAATGAAATGGCAGTAGCTCAAGATGATCAAAAAGCAGACAAGTGCCAGGTGACAAAACCAGAGAAATGAAAGAGTTTGGGGCCCTAAAGATCCAGAGGATCAACCCTCACTAGGAAAAGTTAGTTTGGAAACTTCTTAACAGAAAATACTGTTAAAATGGCAGGACTATTTGAGTCATTTAACCTGACTCAGTAAGTGAATAATGTCACTGCAAAATACAGATATTTTGGGGAAAAAAAAAAAAAAAAAAAATCTGAATTTCCAACTCAGGCAAAGAAAGGGTTGGAAATATGATTTTGCAGACAAACTAGAATTTCAATTTCCCATTTTTTTTACTTTAACAAGACCATGATTTCTATATTTTTTGAATTAATCTTTGAGCAAGTCGGGTTATAAAACCCAGACATTGTCACCAATGCAGGAACAACCTTATAATAAATCCCAGCAGCCCATTTCCCCATGGAATGAGCATTACTGGAGCATTTGCCAAGGCAGCAGCTAAGTAAACCTCCTCTCTCTTCCACTCTCCAGCTTTGTGGGGTGAAGATTTATGCACGCTGAAAACTTCTAACATAACCATGACCTTAATGATGTCCTAAGGACACTTCTGTATTCCAGCCATGGGAATGGTATTAAATAAAGCAGAGAGGGGAACTCGTTCTCCTCAAAAAGGATACAGAACAAGCCTGTGTTGTCAGTAATTCCTCTGTCACATGTAGCCACATCCCAGACTCCTTTATCAGTGTCAGCTCAGATCCTCAAGGGAAGAGTCACATTTATTTCTAGGAATGTTTGCCTTAGGTTTGTATAAAAATGGGATCAAAAGTATCAGTGCTCCATCCTATTTAGCACGGGTGCTTTTGTGTTTACTCACAAACCAGCCAGCCATTTTTTCTTAAAGGACTGTAAATTAGCATTTAAATTAATTGCTGTCTCGATATTCAGGAGATGCTGAATTCTACAATGAGGTTTCGTTCTGCCCCATCGTCTGCTCTGCAACAAGCAGCCAGGAGAGCTGTAAAATCAACCTGGAGGAGATTCTGAAAGGTGTAATATAACATCCATGTGTGTATTTCTCTGTAAGGGAGCACTTCAAAACAAAATAAAGCAAAACAAAACCCTGGTGCTTGCTATCTTTGGGGGGGGGGCGTAGAAAAAAAAAAAAAGAAACAAGAAAAGCAAACCAACAATCCTTTGTAGTCTCTGTTATGTTTTATCAAAGAGATGTTCCTCCTTGTGTGTTGTCCCACCTGCAACTCCCTTGGGGTATCTCCTACCCTGTGGTCCAGCATGTGTGG